GGGGGGGGGGGGGGGGGGGACATGCGGCAGATGGCCCACAACTTGGCACAGGTCATCGACCACCGGGTCTCTTCCCATAACGAGGCTAGCATTTTCCGCTTCCACGTTTTACGAGATGAACCCTGTCCCAACAGGATGGCATGCATTCTCCTCGGACGCAAAAAGTTTCGAACGCAAACCCACATTGCTGACGTAGGAAAAGAATTCCCTTCTCCTTTTTTCTTATGTGATTCATGGACAAAAATGAGAAAGTGTAATCAAATTTCTGATCGCAATATAAGATTCTAGAAAATAACATGTTGAAGTTCCTTATGAAAAGAGAAGTGCAAAGAGTGTAGCCTCTATTCCAAATATTCCAGTTAGCTGTCCAATTTATTCCTTGCACAAGATGTACACTAAATTTTTCGCTCTCGTCGTTCATTTCAGCCTCTGTTTGAGGATGGATTAGCTTTCAAAAACAATATCTACTGGTGCCCATAATGAGACTAGAAGGAGGAATTGAATGTTTTTCTTTAAGCTTTTCCCCCCATATAACTACTAGAGAATGTGGTGAGTCGTTAGCGGGTCAGAATACGGCAGTTGGTAGCCCTCAACCAAGAAAGGGTAGGTTCCCATCAGCTCTTTCCACAACGTAGCAGCGACTCACAAAATACATACTACTTGGGTACATATCTACATCGAGTATTGCCTTGCAATAAAAATTCGATGTACGTAACCAAAAAGCGATGTTGCTGTAGTGCCTGGAGAACGTGGCGTCGAAAGGAAGGACTTTGAACCCGGAGGAACGAGTGGGAGAAGCGTTGAGGCAGGCTGGAGTCTCCATCACCATCACGTCCATCACGGACGTCTTTGCCTTCGCCATTGGAGCCACTACGGTCTGTTTGCATCATTGTCTTCTCGGCGTCTTTCACTGGTGTAATGATTGGCAGCGGCGCAGCCTTATCGGTGAATTGGGCTACTTACTTCCTACTCTTCTTAAATGCCAACGAATTTGTATTAGAAAAATTGCGTGTCCAAACCGCTTCACAAAATCTTTAACTCCTGGTATAAAATGGTACCTAGAATGCCACAACGAGATCCCAGCTGGTAAATATAATTCATATCGCATATGAATTCTTATCTGTCATGATCATCTTCAAATTCTGCAAGTGTTAGTCGAACCAGAGTGCCTTCTGTACTCGTAGAGCTCTTGCTGGCAAGAAGTAGGCACATCTCTGATATTTTTCTGATACTGAACGGCATCCAATTCAGGAAAGCGGCCTTCCTTTGACAGGCAGCTGCTGAAGTAAGCGTGGATTGTAATAATTCTGCCGGGCTGTAGCAGTAATAACTTGCTTGTAACACAAAGTTAGCATAAGTTGCACACGCTTAGTGTTCGGCTTGATATTGAAAAACCTTGAGGCGGTAAATAGCTTGGCTAATCTCCTGCCAATACAATTATATATCAATATTAACATTGCCCATCAATTTGCAAAGAAATTGGGACTTTTGCTAGGATTGAAAGGAAAAGCAAAGCGGACTAATTCGGAATTTTTAGAGAAAAGGAGGGAAAAGCACATTGACACATATAGGAAAGGGCGACAAACGATTTAAATGCAGGAATTAATTGCTGGGGGAATTGGGGAATGAAAGTAGTCACAAATACACGTACTGTACGCACCATCGATACTAAATTCTCCCATAGAAATATACGATCAAAATTAACCCCTGGTAGGTGGAGATGCTCGCATTTCTGACATGCGAAGTTTCCCGGGGCAGTGGGGGGTCGAGTACTTCGTGCGCACAATGAAAAAAAAAAGAAATCAGACGCAAGAAAGGAACAGTTTCAGGCATACGCTCTTAAAAAGCATCTTTTGCGTGACTTTACGCAGACGTTCCCCGGGCGTTTATACGGCCTTTGAAAGGTTTCTAGGGGTGCAGAACCTTCGCGGTGATTTGAACCTCTCTACATGAATGCTAAAAGATACTTACCGAGATGTCGTCACTTTCGATTCCTAAACTCTACAAAGATATTTCAATTGGGGAAGAGAGTCAGTTGGAAGAGGAAAAACTAGGAAATCATATATCGTATTGTGGTCACGTGGCTGGGTTCACCCGTCAATATCGGGATGTCCGCGTGGCACAAGGTCCCTCTCGGACCACATGCTTCCTCGTCCTTCAGGGTGGAAGGTTGAAAACCCCTATATCTAAAGAATGTTCATGGGACGAGGGCAATGTCTTTAATAAATGGTTAATTCCAAATTCATTAAGCGATCTGGTGTCACGGGAACTGACTTGACTTTTAGGCATGATTCGAAATGTCTAAATGTGACAAAAGCATCATGGATAACTTTTGAAAGACGTAATTTTTGGATAACCTTCCCTCTTTTACGTTAAAAGTAGCTTCGATTTCAAGGGTAGAAACTTGGTAATTTTCTAACATTTAGTACTGGTTACTCAATGGTTACATGTATAAGAGTGCAGCTTTCTGACGTTGCATTGACGTGACGATTCCGTGTCATGATAATTCCACGTTTCTGGCGGGTATTCCCTTTGTCTTAGAAGTTACTTATACAGGGTGTCCCAAATTTGAATGAAGATGAGGAGGTTTCGTGCCCAAGTCCCTTTGACTTAGAACTCTGCTGCTTAAGTATCAGGCGCGAGACCTACATGAATATGCTCTTCTAAGCCAAAAAGGCTCAGTACAAAGCCTATCTACAGTCATTTCTAAAAAGGAAATGTTTCACTTCATCATCGAATGATGATCATGCGGCCTGCAGCTAGAAATATTAAGAACTATGTCGATTCCGAATGTCATGATCTTTTCTGTTCTTCAGAAGATTCCACAAATATTGATGTTTACCATCTGAACAGAGAGTACCAGTGCTCCGGAGCTTCTGCATCTACACGACCGCCGGGATTTTCATCGTCTACGTCATGACCTTGACATTCATGGTCCCGATTCTGTCTTTGGACGAAAGGAGACGAGACAGCGGGAGGGAAGGATGCTTGTGCATTCGCTTGCCAGCCGACTACAAGAAGAACAGTTGCTCCCAAAAACGCCTGCTCGAAGCCATTTTCCGCAGGATCTTTGGACCATTGCTTGTCAAAACTCCAGTGAAGGTTCGTCAACTTCACGCGCTCGAATGGACAGAAACATTCGCAATTTCACGAGGGTGTAGTGATAGTACAAGTGCATGTCTTGCAGGTCGTTGTGGTGTTACTTACGATGAGTCTCTTGGGTCTCAACTGTTGGGGATTGTCTGGGTTGAAGAACGACTTCGACAGAACCTGGTTTTTGAATCCGGGATATCAGAGAGACTTTGTGTCCGCTGTGCAGGATCTCTTTCCAGAAAGCGGCTATAGAGCTGACTTTTATCTTGGTGAGTCTATAGGGACATGCAATGCCGATTAGACGTAGAGAATTTAACTATGAGAAAGGAGTCTTTGGCAGGGAATGCGGATTACTTCAGGGAGAAAGAAGCACTGGAAGAGTTATTCAATAGGCTGTCGGCTCTTCCAGGGATTAAGAATGGATCTATTGAATTCTGGCACCACTCTTTCCTGGAGTACCTCAAGGAAAAAAAAGGCAAGCCTATCCGAATAATGAATGTTTAACTAAATAATAGCCTAAATAAACATAAGTAGTGTTCCACCTGTTGGAGCGATGAACCACCCGAAGAAAATTTCACCTGGCTCGCAATACATGTGAGCAAATGGGTAGGTATATTTCCACCAGGGGGCGAAGTTTATTTTGTTCAAAATGCACTACCTATCCACTTAGATGTTCAAGTAAGTGGTTAAGAGGTGGACGTTTTGTAAAGGGTTACCCAAGCAACTTCGGTAGGGGGACCGCTGAGAAACTGACTTTAAATTCGGCTCAACACTCACTTGCGAAAATGTCTGGTAGTAGGGTCGTGTGGGGAAGGGGCATAGCCCGTTGTCTAGTCTTGAAATTTTGGGGGCTTACGCGAGAAGATTTTCCTCATTTTTGCATGGAAACACGTTGAAAAGGCGGTGCAATCGGCCAACTCTCGGTAATCCGGACATGAGATAGTCGGCGATTTAGTCTGGATTTTCGAGAACCTTATTTTCTCTTTTCTCGGTTTCGCTTCTCCGCCCTGGACCGACTAGGAGCCATGAGAGAATATTGATTGGATTGGAGGAAATGAAAAATGTGGGAGATTCTAATCTTTCTCGACCTTGGAATCGGTTTGTTAAGGAATGACACTACGTGCCAGAAATTCGGCCAGGTAGGGCTGAAAAAGGAAACCCATGGAGTCAGGTTGAGTTCCGAATGGTGAATGGACAGTTAGCTTTCGCTATAAGGCCACAGCTGACCCGATTACCATTATATCTAAATAGAATTTGCGAAATTCCGTCAGGTGATGTGAGTTATATTTTTCAGAGGACTATCCGAAAACCGAAGCAGCATTCGAAGACAAGCTTTCCACCTTTCTGGTCTTCACCAACAAGGGAAGGAAATTCATACGCGATCTTAAATACACCGGGAACCTCTTAACGGACTTCAACCTAACAGTGAGTGCATACTGTAAATTGACGAGAGATTCGTCGTTTGGATCAGGAAGCTATAGAATGTGTATCGTTCCGTTCAGGCTTCGAGAGGTAGGTACCAACACATTTATTTCAACACCGGGGACGAAAAACGACAAGGACTCCGCGAGGTGGAAGAGGTTATGCACGGAGTCCAATTCAAGGGGAGAGATCCATTCAGAGGAATCTTCACTTTTGAGTACCGCGTCATCCGATCGAACGAGGCAAGCCGTTTCCACTCTTTGAGGGCGCATCTCCGGGGTTCCAGTGAAACTTTTTCCCCACGTCCACGTAATTTGTATGCAGCATTCGAATGTGCCAGAGTTTGATTTACGGGGACAGTGTCTTTGCGATGTGCTGAATGTCTATTGGTCCAGTTGGATTTCATGGTCGTGAGTTGCTTTCGAAGAAATAGTTCAATACGGTTTCTTCAATTTAAGGTTACAACCTATTTCAGTTTTTTCGAATATTTTTTTCGTATTCATTTTAATTCAATCATTTTTCATTCAGTAACTCTTAATTCCAAATTTAGGTGAAGCTATGTGCATTTTTTGCATTCTTAGATCGAGCAGAATAGAGAGAAAGCATGCTTTGGGTTTACTTTTTTTCTCTTCTTTTGGGTTGCATTATATTACCAGGATTCAGCATCGGTGGGCAGCACACCTGAGTTTCTGTTGGTCTTTTCAAAATTCCTGTATTCAGACGGCAATATTTATTCCTGTCTCAACGCGAAACAGTTGGAAGCTCGTTCCTTTGCACCGTCACCCCATTTATCAAATTAAGAGAAACGAATAAACTTTGTAACGAACTGACAACTACATCAATGGATAAAATTGCTTGTGTCGCAAGAGCGGAAATGCTCGAAGTGACAATATCTCATTATAAAAAATGATCAATAAGTGAGTTCACCGAACGACTTTCGGCTATTCTAATTTCATTTTAACTTACGCTTGTTACTTATGTCAACTGATATTTTTGTTGCTTTATTTAAGATCTTATTAATCATGAAATTACCGATGGGGCTAATGGACTTACCAAAAGTCAAAGAACTGTAATCGTTGTTCATTAATCGGGTACACTTATGAATCTCCCTTCACTTTCCTCACGTCCATCTCTTGATGCCGACGGCCAGATGCGAATGAATGCGGTATAGATTGGTTATGACTCGTATTGGCTTCAGCAGACTTAATGGAGATGCTGAATGGCACACTGGCTGTGCTGTATTGTGATTTGCATGTTACTCCAAAGGTTGTATCCGAGGAGCTGCTGAGGAATCTCAGTCTGACTTTGGTCGGAGTGTTCGGGGTGACATTGGTGCTGATTGGAGACCTGCAGGTCTCTATATGGGTTTTCTCCTGCATTCTATTCACACTGATCGGAATCGCAGGCAGCATGCGATTCGCCGGTCTTACCATCGAGCTCATGGCGTCAGTTCTTCTCATCTTGTCTGTCGGCTTGGCAGTCGACTATTCCACACACATCGCTCACAAATTCTTGGTTACTCCTGGCGATTCTAAAGACGGTTCTGGAGGCGCTCTACTTCTGAGAAGAGTTCTGCTCTGCTGAGAAGTAGCAAATATAATGTTTTGTTCGTTTCATAGACCGAGTGAGAATCACCTTGGCAGAAATTGGTCCACCCGTTTTCAATGGAGGTTTTACGACAATGATGGCTTTTGTGTTTTGTCTTTGGAGTGAAAATTATCTCTTCCAAATTACCCTCAAGGTGAGTTTCCATATACCAACCCCGTGATAATTTGGTAACAAGTGTGTCTTGAAGAACACCAGCAAAAGCTTTATTAATGGTTTTTGCGGCAGGTTATCTGGTTTTCGGTGATATATGGGTTGTATCACGGATTGGTTTACCTGCCGGTGATGCTGAGCTGGTTCGGTCCACAACCTTTTGTTGAGTCGCTGGATTCAACCAAGAATAGCCCTGCCCAGAGCGGCCTCGATCCCGGTCTAGGGGAAGCTCCAGAGAAGCCTGACGCCGGAAAGACAAATGCCTCAAGCCTCAAGGTAACTGCAGTGTTGGATTTAAATCAACTTAAGGCGGTATAATAAACAAAGTTCCGAGTATCAACCATGATATTTAAAGGACTTTCACTCTTGGGAAGAAATTTGCTGTGGTGCAGACTTCATTTGATGGGGGAGGGTAGAAGGGACGGTATGCTGAGTGTTTGCGTGAAGGAAGGTTTTTCCATACTTGGTAAAGAAGAGAGTCCCGACCGCTGAACTCTAAACCCCTCTTGGTAGTGCTAAGGTGTCCTGTCATGTTCAAGCAATTATGAGAAGGTTGTCCTTACTTCGATTTATCATTTGGATGTTACATTACCATTTATGTGTTCAGTTATGACATTATTGGGGAATTTTTACGAGAAAAAAGGCAAATTAGTACTTTTCTAAACGTTCCGTCTGCATCGAAATTGAGTCGATTATGGCTCGAAGGCTGTCTAGTGTATTATTCTGTTCTTCCAGAGAAAGCTTTTCTGGAAGAACAGCAGAGGGGAGTATCCGATCGGAAACCATTCAAGACAGATGGCGAAGGGGGAAACTGCAAAGAAGAAATCGTCTTCCGTCTCTCCCAGTCGCAATGAGACCGAGTCCTGCGCTGGGACGTATCGCCTTCGGAGTCCCATTATCAGTTGACTTTCGTCTGCTTCAAAATCCCATCTGTGATGTAATCTTCCGTGACTGCAAGCACCATCGAGAAGCTTGCAGTACAAGCTGGGAGTTCTGGGGAAATCCCGGCGAGATGGCTTTGGGCTCGTTTTCATTTCTTATATTGAGCTTGTGACGTGTGTGATGCTTGTGCTTTGAGACATTCTGGAAATCTGTTACTCTCCGTGAAAGGAAATAATGTGAACATGACTGTTAATCTCTTTCAAGTCCCCTACTTCGTGACACACGTCAATTCAGAATGACAGGAATCAGAGACAAGGCATTATTCTTACTTACTGCGTACAATACATGTCAGTTGCTTCCCAAATTTCATTTTCTGTCTCATTCCTTTTTCCTTGTCATTAGAAGGTAAATTCGAAACAAAAGACCTGTGGGAAATCGTCGGTATGGGGAAAGTTGTAGCCGTGGAATGGTCTCTTTGGCCCGCCTTGGACGTCGAGGACAGAACTTCAAAGACGAGGACGATGAGAGGGACGCTATGTGGACGTGACTCCGCAGGCGCGACAAAATGTGCGACAGCGATGGCATGCACGCTCTAATAAATCAAGGAGACTGAGAAAAACAAAAAACAAGAAAACAAAAAAAGAATGTGCATTTACCTCTCAGGGTAAAACCGCCTAAGTTCGGACACCGCTGCAAACCTGTTCCAAAAGTAAACATTAGCGGGCCGCCTTCAGAAATGGTTCTTTTTAACATGAGATGCTGAGGGAAGGAAAAGCGGTGGCGATCATGACTTTGCACGATTCCAAGATATCGGGCTTAGGCCAATGTTACATCGCGAAAGGGAGGAATTCAAGAAACCGAGAGAACCTTGCTTTTAAAACGTTTCACATGTGAATTTTTATTTCTGTGCTCAATTTTTACTTGCCAGGAAACTAGGAGGACATGGAGTCCTGTTACGCAGAATGCACATGCATTGATCAGTCCTACTTTCGGTGTGTCCGAAGCTTGGTCAAGAAATGTCTGGGAAAGTTCGGACATGCATTCATGTGTGTCATATCTGCAGATACATAACATCCTATAGGGATAAAGAACGTTTAGATTAGACAAAAGCTCTGTTTGGTCATGCCTTTCAGGGAACATGTATTTTTGAGCTCTGTCTGAGTTTCAAGCTTATTTGAGACTTAAAAACTAGGGTGTCCGAACTTAATTTTTTCCGCATCTAAGTTCGGAGATCCACATTAGAGGCAATATCGGTAGTCATAAGGGTAGGAAAGACGACATCTTTATAACACTCAGACCTCCTAGTGTCTTGCTCCCAGGAGAAAAAAAGGAAACTTCCCACTTCCACCGTTGAGATGGGAGGAACGAATGAGGCTCGGTCGGCTTAACTCTCCGAACATTGGTGGTTTATTACTCCCCCCTTCCTCTTGTAACCTCGACACGAATCGGAACGTCATCGGGTTCGCTCGTAAAAGCCGAAGCAACGAAATCGTGGAGGATCGTGATCATTGTTTTGCTCTCTGCAACCTTCAATAATGTGTGTTAAGGCTAGACGGAGGACATCGTGGCATTGGACGAGGATCTTAATGTGAGAGCGTCTTCCCTATGAGTCGGTCGGCACAGTCGTGAGTTGACAATGTGGGTGACTCTCATCCGGTAGTAGTAGGTCATTAGCCTACCTATCCCATAAGAGATTCATTTTAATTGGTTTATTGTCTGGTATCTCATGGCAAGTTGACAAAATGAGGATTCCCTTAACTGAAAGGGAGGCCCATTGCTGGACTGGGCTACTTACTTCAGAGTTCTACTTTGCATTCCTGCTTCATGTGTCTGTTACACAAGTTTCCAATTTGTTGCCTGTTTTTTTTTTCTGTCAACAGATGGACGCTTCCGACTGAGCTCTTCCGGATTTGTGATCGATTCGTCTCAGAGGTTCCATGCGACGAAGAAAAAAGGGATTTGCACTCGAGAGAAGATTGTCATCTGGAGTCGCATGAAATGAAATTGCAGATCCTGAGAAGAGTGAAGGCCCGTTCACATTTTCCTTCGGCGAGGCCTCGCCGCAGCCTCGCCGAAGGTGCAGCGCAGACCAGTCTGAACGCGCCCATAGAAAAGAATGGAACGAATGTCTACGCCGAAGCAACGCCGCAGCTGCGGCGCACCCACGCAAGGAGTTCGAAGGAGCCAAACTTTTGTTACGGATAGCCAATGAGGAGTTGTTGACGTACTTACGGAAAGCCAATAGGAACGCCGATTGATATGGCGGCCAGCACGAGCTCTGAAAACCTGAATCAGCTTCTTACCATCGAGCTCATGTCGTCAGTTCTTCTCATCTTGTCTGTCGGCTTGGCGGTCGACTATTCCACGCACATCGCTCACAAATTCTTGGTCACTCATGGCGATTCTAAAGACGGTACTGGAAGCTCTCTATTTCTGAGAAGAGCTCTGATCTGCTGAGAAGTAGCAAATATAATGTATTGTTCGTTTCATAGACCGAGTGAGAATGACCTTGGCAGAAATTGGTCCTCCCGTTTTCAATGGAGGTTTTACGACAATGATGGCTTTTGTGTTTTGTCTTTGGAGCGAAAATTATCTCTTCCAGATTACCCTCAAGGTGAGTTTCCATATACCAAACCTACGATAATTTGGTAACAAGTGTGCTTTGAAGCACACTAGCAAAAGCTTTATTAATGTTTTTTTTTTTCGACAGGTCATCTGGTTTTCGGTGATATATGGATTGTATCACGGATTGGTTTACCTGCCGGTGATGCTGAGCTGGTTCGGTCCACAAGCTTTCGTTCACTCGCTGCATTCAACCAAGAATAGCCCTGCCCAGAGCGACCTCAATCTCAGTCTAATGAAGGCTCCAGAGACGCCTAGCGCCAGAATGACATCTTGAAGTGTAACTGTAGTGTAGGATTTCTGTCAACTTAAGGCGGCAAAATAAACAAAGTTCTTAGTATCAACCATGATATTTAAAGGACTTTCACTCTTGGGAAGAAATTTGCTGTGGCGCAGACATCATTTGGTTGGGGAGGGTGGAGGGGCCGGGATGCTGAGTGTGGGAGTGAAGGAAGGTTTTTCAGTACATGCTAATGAAGAGAGTCCGGACCACTGAACTCTAAATCCCTCTTGGTAGTGCTAAGGTGCCCTGCCATGTTCAAGCAATTATGAGAAGGTTGTCCGCACTTCGATTCATCATTTGGATGTTATATTGCCATTTAGGTGTTCAATTATGAAGATTATTGGGAATTTTTCCGAAAAAAAGGCAAATAAGTACTTTTCTAATCGTTCCGTCTGCATCGAAATTGAGTCGATCATGGCTTGAAGGCTGTCTAGTCTTTTAATCTATGATCTTCCAGAGAACGTTTGTCTAGAAGGACAGGAGTGGGGAGTCTCCGATCGGAAATCATTCAAGACGGAAGGCAAAGGGGGAAACTGCAAGGAAGGAATCTTCTTCCGTCTCTCCGAGTCGCAATGAGACCGAGTGCTGCGCTTGGACGTGTCAGCTTCGGCGTCCCAGTATCAGCTGACTTTCGTCTTTTTCAAAATCTCATCTGTGATACAATCTACCGGGACTGCGGGCTCCATCGAGACGCTTATACAAGCTGGGAGTTCTGGGGAAATCCCGGCGAGATGGCTTTGGGCTCGTTTTCATTTCTTCTATGGAGCTTGTGACGTGTGTAATGCTT